GCTCTGTAAAAAGGTGTGAATCATGACTAATAAAGTTTCTACGTTTGGCAATATAAAAAAAAAAAAAAAAAAAAATTGAATCAAATTAAACTTTGTTTTTACTCTGGTAATTTATTTGAACATTTAAATAATTATGGTTAGTCACATGTTTTCTTGAAACACAATTGTTAAAGCAAATCGAATTAAACTTTTTACTTACCTTGGCAATTTATTAAACAATTGAATGATTATAATTAATCAATGTTTTGAAACTAATTATACAGGCATTTAAAATCTTGAGAGTAACTACCCCAACAAAAAAATTATACCAATATAGCACATTTGCTGTATAAATAGAAGTGTCGTATGCCGTATAAATGCCATAAGTAGTATAAATGCCATATGCCATATAAATATCGTATGCCATATAAATAACTACAAAAGTAGAGCTTTGACTCAGGTCAAACAGAAATTCATAAAATTTTTTAAAGTTACAGCTATTTCATAATTTTTGGAATACCTGATAAAAATTAGCTAAAAGATTTTTCAACTGATTCAATTAAGTTTGTAATTTCAACATGATCCACCTATTTTGCGTCATAATGATAATTAATTTAATTTAAGCCTTCATATAGTCTTGAGATAATTACATATATTTTGTACGTTGCTCTTAAATAATTGTTAATTCAAAATTAACGTACCTGAGTTTAAAATTTATATTGATTAAAATGTAACATACATAGTTTTAAAAATTATACTAATTAATATCTGATATGTAATGTACGAACATACGTCAATTAAACTCAAAATTTAAGTTAAGAGTTTAATAAATTAGATTAATTATATAAAAAAAAATTCTTTGTTATTTTATCTTCTATAATATGGCTTCAAATTCTTCACTAGTTTTTTTGTTTCTTTCATTTCAAAGCTTTCAAAAAATTGTTAATAATTACTGAATCGTTTAAAGTATAATCATTGTCTGGCTATTTTACAAAACACGTCCAAGTAAACATGAAAATTCGAACTTAAAATGTTGGGTTCTTAATGTTTTTAAATTAATTAAAGTTGAGTATCGATAGACTGAATGTTAAATCTGATAAACATAATTGTGAAAAATCAACATGTTATTCAGAACTATCAAATGATTTATAATCTTAATGGAAAAATGATATAAAACTAAGAAACATGTGTTAAATTTGAAATCTGGTAATCTTGTAAAGATTCGGATTCCTGATATTAATTCCTGATATTAATAGGCTAAAAATAGATAGACGAGCATTGCAACTAATATCAAGTTGGAAACAAGTTTGGAATTTTGGATACATGGTTTTCAGCAAACGAATTAGAACCTTTAGATACTAATGAATTTCCTAAACTTGATATAATTTCAATAGGTAAATTTATTTCTTTACGAAATGCTAGTGCTCAACAAAACTTAACCTGATCACTAAATATTACAAATAAAATATCCAACCAAAAAACTAAACAAGAGTTTAAAAAAATGATGGCTGTCATTGTAATAAAACAAATTTTTAAAGTAGGAGTTGTTTTGTCATAAAAACAATGCTCTTTGTACTTTTCGTTGTGGTTGTATTCACTGAGATATATGCAAAAATCAAATAGTGTTTAGCAGTTGTTTAATCTTCAACATGTGGATTTTAAAAATCGTAATGGAAGTTAAATACAATAATTAATAAAAATAAATTTGATTTATGAAGTTCTTGAGATTACTGATTACTTTTGATTATTTTTGCATAGTGAATCTAGACTCTTTTTGACACTAGAAATAGCTTTTATAGTGGTGAATCTCAAAAAGTTACCAGGAAATTGATTTACATCAAATGAATGTATCCATGAGCGCCGGCCCTGCAATTTTTCTAGTGTTAATGAAAAAACTTAACGAAGATTGTAAAAACAAAAAATCAGTGAAAAGGTAGGATATTGTTGTAGTCAGGATCGGTTATACAATGAAATTTGGCATTCGAGATAAGCTTATATCATACATGTTGAAATGAACTGAAAAAATGCGTAATAGATTAGAGTTTATCGTATAATAAATGATCAATGATGTAATTAACTAGAGTTGAGTATAGAATATAAATATCGTGAGAAAATAAAGAGAATATTTAGTTTTTTTCTTTTTTTTCGCTCAAATTAACTAGAGTTGAGTATAGAATATAAATATCATGAGAAAATAAAGAGAATAGTTAGTTTTTTCTTTTCTTTCGCTCAAGTAGTATTAAAGCTAGTGATATTTTACAATTTATGTTCATAAACGTTGGGGCCACGATAAATATTGTCAAAATAATATATTATTAAATTTGGAGAAAAGTACTCTTAAGCGTCTTTCTCAAATCATGTGCAAGCATTATGATTAGTAAAAATATTTCGGTTCTTGTTTATACATAATAACAAATTAGCTTATTACAATATCCATTAAATTTTGTCTTTTGATATTTCCTGCTTCCTTAATTGCCTGAGTTCTTCGTGTATTATGACTAGCATCAAATTGCATTCTATACAATAATATTTGCTCTGAAGGTTCCTCCCACTCATCCCCGCTCTTTTCTAAAATATTATGTAATATTAATGAAATTTCAATTAAATCAGTTGCTATTTTGGTACTTTTTGTTCTTAGTTCTTTTAATAACTGAAATCTACTTTTCAATCGACCGAATGCTTGCTCTACTACAACACGAGATTTGCTATGTTTTTTATTAAATGCAATTTGCTTAGTTTTATCTAAGCCTGAGGGATTTTTAAATGAAGGTATTATATTTAATGAAATCGGATATGCTGAATCAGCTAATACATAATCAGATTCTTCAAAAAGCTGATTTCTGTAACGATATAAACTAGAATTTCGGAATACTTTTGCATCATGAACTGATGCTGGATATCCGAGATCATAGTTTATAAAATTCCTTGATGATCCACAACAGCTTGAAGATGAATTGCATAACGACGTTTTCGTATAAAGTAAACATCTTTATTTAATTTACTAGGAGCTTCAAACAAATTCATATGAGATCCATCTAGTGCACCGATTACATTTGGAAAACCATGCATTTTCTCAAAACCTTTATGAACCTTTTGTCGATAATCACCACGTGGCCAAATAATAAAATCTTCTTTTAAATTTTTTAAAGTCTTAATAATTCTAGATGTAAATAACGGAACAGTACCCTCTGCAATTCCAAATTTAGAACAGATATCCCAGATTGTCGCCTTTCCACCTAATCTATATAAAACTACTGCAAGCTGTTTTTCTACTGGGTTTTGCTTTCTTTGCGGAATATCTTAAAAACCTCATGGTTTTTTATTTTGTTAACAATCATCCAAAATGTTGATTGTTTCATTCTTAAAGTTCGGCGAAACCGAAGTTCATCATAATTAAACAAAATATTAGAGTACCAGTGATCTGATTTTGGACGGACATTTATAATTCTAGATTGTTTAAATTATGAAGAATAATAGAATTGACAAGATTTTCATCATAACACGGATCAATATCAGGTTCAGATTCAATTTCATTTGAATCTAAAGGTTCGGTAAGCAAATGAAATCGGAGAGAATTCATCATTATTACAATAACGATTTTTGAAAATTTCCTTTATATTTTATTAACATTCGCTTGACACATGACATGCAATGTGATATTGTATTATCACAAAATAATACCTAAACCCAATTCAGGATTTTATCCCCGGTTGTTATTTAGTAATAATACATCTTAATCACATATATATTTATAAATTAACAATTCTTATCGTACATACGTACGTACAGTACATACGTACTATATATTTTTCTTACTAAACCAAATACAGCTTCTGTATTACTATATTAGGGTCCAAATACTGATACTGCGTAATGAAAAAAAGCTGAACCGCTGAAAAAGGCCATTAATAATGGTTATTTTATTTATTTTATTACCTTATAATACTCAATATTTTTGAGTCAACTTTTTTAGCTTGT